TAAATTAGTATGAGATTACTCATTATTATCAAACTCAATAATCTTTAAACTTAAGGGAGTCGACTATTGATCAGAAATAAAGTCCCACATCAACTAGAGATAAAGTAATTATTTATTTTTACTCATCTTACAAGTCCCACATCGACTAGAAAGTAAAAAATGTTATAAAAAGATATACACTTTTTTCGACCATTATAAGGATTTTTACCAGCATTTTGAATAATTGTTGCTAAATATTTTAGCGACACTGCATACAATGGCTAATGTGAAAATGCCAGTAAAAGATTTTGTAACAATTTTTATTGTCACTAAAAGTCATATTAAATGTCACTAAAAGTCTATATTGTTGTAGTGATAATATAGTATTTTCAAAATGTAAAAGTTAAAAATAAAAACATTTTAATCATATACTTATAGTTGTTTAATTTTAACAAAATTAATAAGATAATACATATTTATAATTAATAATTTGATCCATTAAAATCATATTCAATATAACTGATACTTTAAGAATTGATGTAAAAAAAAAAAAAAATTGACAGCAAAATTGATGTAACGTCATCACTGTGTAAGTTGGTTCATCTTTTATATTTATAATCTAATACACCTATAGTGTAAATGTTTTTTACACTAATATTTGATTATGGAAAATGTCACGTGATTAAAAATTATTAATTTTTGTAATAGTTATTTTAAAATTTGAATCTAGAGTATTTTTAAGCAGTTTTTTTTTTTACAAGAAATGTTTAAATAGTTGATAACATCAAACCCTTTAAACTAAAAATGTATCAAATTAAATTATATATAGTTAGTCAAAGGTATGTAACACTATTGTAGCACATATATGATATGTCCACGTTAAATATAAACTCATCATCACTTCAAGAAAAATAAAAGGAAAATAGTGATACATGAATATTATATTACTCTATATTTGTTTTTAATGTTGTTATTTCTTTTCTTATCTCTCTTAGCATAATATATTACCTATAATTATACCTATACTTCTTTCCTTTCTTTATGTCTCTAAGTATCAATTATAATGTAAGTATCTACCCATCATTTTTCTTTTAATAAGGACGTCAGTACAAAATATTCTTATTGAATTATATACTCAAAGTGTAATTTAGCTAAACCATAGTTTTTTATTCTATTTCACGAGTCTCTAAAATTAAATTATTCCAATGAAGTAAGAAGTCTTAAATTTTCTTTCTAAAAGTAAAAATTATAAGATTGCCAAATCCTTCGCTCGAATTCGTGGGATCCTACGCCATTAAAAGTGGTTTCATATCAGCATTTTCTTTAATTATTTGAAAAAATTTGTGTGACTTAAACACGCTTAAAAAATATATTAAGAATAACGTCTTTGAAACAATCGATGTTTCGGCGATATTTCAAATAAACAAATAAATTATCGGTATCAACTTATTTATAATTTCAAATTGTGCAATGTCATTAAAAGAAAATTGTCATATAGTGACATACACCCTATAGTGATACTATACATGTCACTAAAAATTATTTTTACCCACACAATAACTACAATATATTGATATATTATTAAAAAGTGTGGTATAGACTATAGTGACACACAAAATATGTTATTAAATCTCATTCAAAATTAATACCAAAATTGTGTGTAATTATATGTCAAATAGACATATACCTACATATATTGTATCTATAGTGACACTTTTTGTGTGTCACTATATATAACATTTCTTGTAGTTTGTTTAACAGTATCTCGCCAAATTTATGCGAGATATTTGAAAAAATTTTGGGTTTGTTTGCATCGCTTTATAATGCAACAACCTTTTAAGATAGTTATATTTGTTGGATCATACTTTATAAGTGATGAAACAATTTTAATAGAGTCTATTACTTCTTGTGGAGGTACTATTTGGAATTATTATAATAATTTTATTATTGTTTTCTCTTGTAAGTTGAGATCCATGGTGTAGGTTGAATTATGGATCATTTATCATGAATTGAAAATTATACTCTACTTTGACAATTAAGTTAGAGAATTGTAACAAGAAATATTTGTGTTATGCTCTTGTAAATAAGGTGGTTAGTATGATTAGTCCAAATCAACATATTGATTATTTTAATATCTTAAGAGGAACTAATCAAGTAATTGATAATCTTTATAAAAAAAAATTCATTATCAGATGACATTCTTATTTATGAGTCTCCTTCCTTTTAAATTTATTTTCTTATACTTATAGAGATTTTTAATGTAATTTTCTTTGGTTTTAATTTACGCCTATAACCCTCCTTATATCATTTTTAATTTAGGCTTATAATAAAATAAAATAAAAAATCCTTTTTAGTATCTTTGATATAAAACATAAAAATTTAATCAATTAGACTCATATCATTCGAAAGATGTTTAAATGATATTGTTATCCTTAATTTTAAGAATTACACTCTTTTTTTTTTCTTTCTTGAAAGATTAATATTTGTTACACGTAATACATTTTAAAGCGAATGAATTTATCAGTGACCAAGGAAAATGACACACTTCATGCTTTCTTATTGTTTTAAAAAATAAACATGTAATTAATAATTATTGAACTAAAACAACGTATTTTCATTATTAATAATTATTGAACTAAAAGTTAATTTTAGACATTGTATTATTATAACTTTTATAAGTGATGAAAGAATAACATTTCATGCACTCTTTCTTACTACTCCTAAAGTCATTAAGGAACGTTTGGTAGGAGAATTTTTTTTTATATATATAAGAATCATTGTTATTGAAAATTATAAATACTAATAATTATAATTCTCATGAATCATTAAATTTTTTTGGTTGCTTATAAATGTTTCTTAAAGTAATATAATATTTTTACTGTTGTAAAACATTCATTTTAATTCAGGAATATTAAATTCTCACTTACCTCATGAAAATAATTTAGTGAAAATTTTGTATAAAAAAATATTATTAAAAAACCATGTTTTCTAAGAATATTATGTTTTAGATGATAAACCAAACATGGGAAATTAACATTTCCAACTTCATATTCCTAAGATAATAAAAATATTTTGCATATCAAACACTTTCTAAAAGTTAATTTTAGACATTGTATTGTTATTTTTAAAACTTTAGTAAATAAAATGATTTTTTTTTTATTTTATAGATAAATATTGTTTTAAATATTTATATTATCAACTTTGACACTTTACTCCAATCTTGATTTTATTTTTTGAAATCTTAAAGTTAATAGAGATTCAAAATCATGACAACAATGTTGAAAGTTACTTAAAAGGAAAAATAAAATAGAAAATAAGGATGTTAAAACTATTCAACTCATTTGATTGATCCACATGACCTATCCAACCAAGTTGGACTCTGTTGTACTTTTCAATCTTTCAACTCATATAATTCACCAATCTAATGAGTTAAATGAAAAATTGGATTGGGTTGACTTATATTGTCTTTAATTTTTATCTATTGACATTAATTTGTGGTATTTTATTTGTGGTTCATTTGCTTATGAAAATCTATTTGTGATTGTGTTATATGTTTATTTTATTATTATTGATGAAATTATGTGCTTATATTGTGGACTTTATTTTAATGTTGATGAACTTATTAAGTATATCTCTTATTGAATATTTAAATTATTGGATTTATTACTAATTATAAGGGGGAAAATTAATTATATTTCATCTTAATATTTGAAGAAAATTAAAGATAAATAAAATAAATAATTTATAATTTTTTTAATGGTTGGTGGATCAATGCAACATAATTCAACTCATAACCTACCACGAATTGGATCATTCGCAAACACTTCAACATTTTCTATTTAATTTGGGATAACATGTTAATAGATAAACCAACTTATGTTAAATGTTTATTAAAATTTTCTAAAAATTTTCTACCACGAAATGGAAGTTTGAAGATCTTATTTGTGATTCAAATGGTAAATGTTTATTAAAATTTTCTAATAATTTTGAATTCACTATAATTATGAATGTTGAACTTCTAACTATGTTACATAGCATGTAAGAATGCTGATTACAAGAGACTAATTTATAAGACCAAGTCTTTAATGACTTGTAAACTAATTTCTTATGGTTGTGCTTTTTAGTATCATCATACATCTATTATCAACAAGATAAAGGATTGTACCTAAACTCTTTTCATTTCATCATATCTTAAGAGAAAGGAATCATTCTATTTATAGGTTAGCCAAATATGACTCATCTTTTAATAGTTTGTTTGTATTGTAGGAATATCTTCCACCTCTTAATCCTTTAATTTTGGCTTACACTTGCAGTATGACTTTTGTAAGATCTTATTTTTTTATCTTAATATTTCTGATTGATTAAAAAAAAAATCAACATTGCTTAATTTTAAAAACTATGAAAATCAGATTTGTCAAAAAAAAAAATCAATTGAGAGACCAAAATTATTCACTTAAAAAATTGTTAAATAAATAAATTTAAAAAAAAAAAGAAGAAAAAAAAAAGTAGATTTGAGCGTAAAGTGCTAAACCCCCGATCATATAATTTATGACCCTCATATACTTATTCAACCGGTTTCCCTAAACGAGCTAAACCCCCGATCAATTCGCTAATTTCCTAATCAAACCGACTGATCGAATCGAACTTAATATATCATTGACATGTTTCACTACCTTAAGAAATCTTAAATATACCTGATACAAGACTTAAGCCGAGTTCAAACGTCCCAAACTCAAACGATAGTTATCAAGGTTGCATTGATCCGTATATTTAGGCTTATTAATATTATAACATATTATTACTCTTTAAAACTTGATATATTAATTCACAAAAATTTCAGCTACTTCTGATCTGATCCAATGATTTTTCGGCAAATTCAGGTGTGCCATTTTCTAAATTCAGAGATTTGTTTGTCTATAGCATTGGCAACCTCAAATCAAAGAAGTGATAATCAAGCTAACCAGATAAATTGCGAACCAATACAAGAAATCAAGCTAATGGGATAATTAAAGAAATCAAGCTTGCGTCCATCAATAACACCAGATAAGATATAATCAGACTCTAGATTCTTGAATAAATATTCGGCCTTTCTGTAGTACATAGCAAGAGCTAAAAACACTATCTGAGTATCAAAAAAACATATCGGTATGAGACACTGTAGATGTAATTGTCAAACCAGTTAAACTAATCCAGAGATACGACTGTGAAAGACTAACACGAGAAAAGTGTAAAATGATTTGCGCCCTAGATACCTAGGTTTCGTCAAACATAACCTTGAACTGATATACAATCTTCAACCCTTGGGTAGTATTGATAAATTATAACATTTCTGTATTAATCATAGCTAAGGAGGGACATTAACCCACCTTCATGTTGTGGGCCATTCCCTTCTCGATCCCCAGGTATTATTGCACTTTTTGATTCACTGGAGGTGTCGACTGCTTTTCTTCAACTGTAGGTGCCTTCTGGTCTTTCTGAACAACTTCTGCAACAAGTGTTTCACTCGGGATGCATGGTCTCCAAATTGTTTCGTTGCCCACATCCATAAGTGCAATGCCCTTTGCAGTCAAATCAGTCCTAATCTTATCGCTTTTGGGGAAATCCTTATTAATCCTAGCTTGAGTTCTTTCTTCTATCAGATGCAGCACTTCATCTTCTGCCAGACCTGCTCTCTTCAATGCCTTATCTTTCAACTGCTGCAGAACCTGAGGAACATTTAACAATTGTTATAAGTTCGAAATAGCTTTCCAATAGGGTATGCCTCTTATAGATTATACTCAACAGGAAATTAAGCTCGTGTTAATAAAACGAGTCACCTCAGCATACGATTTGGAAGACAATAATCCTAGTACGTCCAAAACCTTTCCAACTTCTTTCTCAATTTCCAGTAAGGATTGAACCAATTGAACCTGTGCTCTTTTCTGCATTTTTTTCTGAAAGACAAATATATTTTCATAAATTACTGGCACATTTCAAACACAAGAAAATGCATGTAGCACACACGCATGCAATACAAAAAGTTGGTTTAATTTACATACCTTCAACATCTTCAAAGAACTGTTCAAAAATTTCAAAGCCTCTTGAAGAGCACCAGTTAGTATCACTGGCGTCTGCAAGTCATCTGACATTTTTGTTTGAAACTCAACATTCAATTTCTTAATACATTCCTTGGCAGCCTCATTAATTTGAGGTACATTTTCATTCTTCTCGGTTCCTCCTTGAAGAAATGGTGATAAAGCATCTTTACAATCTTGAAGAGTCTAACAACCAAAAGAACAAAATCCTTCTCATTGTTAAGGACATCGCAGAAGTAAAAAGTTGTTTTGGACAATTTCCCTAGATAATGGCATCAATTAAATATAACAATATTGCAGTATTGCCCACAGGAATCTGTAGCTTTAATACTTTATGCCAATAGATCTAAATCATAGCACAATTATAGTTGAGTTGAGAGAATTTATTTTAGAAGCAATACTACCACCCAAAACTAATAAAAAAACAAATTAATTTCAGGTTACATAATGGAAAAACCCGGTCAAACTTGAGAGATAAACTCAACCATCAACTTCTAAGCAAGACAGAATTCCTAATACAAATTATATGGAGGCTGATTACCTGAAATATATAGTAAATAGCATCTGATGAGCTCTCCAGCTGTCCGATTGAGTAATTTAGTGGAGATCTGTAATGGGCACTGATCAAAAAGTGTCTCAAAGCAAGTGAATGGTAACGCTCAGTGATCTGCAAGAAAATAAAATCTCATGAAAGATAAGCACAAGACATCTTACACGAGACTTTTATTACCATGCAAAACCTTATCCAAATATCTAAAAGAATTAAAAAACCATCATTAACCAGGAGAATGGTGAAAAAGTTGGCTAAGGACAGACCTGGCGAATGGTGAAAAAATTGCCTAAGGATTTTGACATCTTTTCATTGTTATTAGTGACATGCCCATTATGCATCCAATAACTGACATGGCTCTCATGGTCTGCAGCCCAGCTCTGTGCAATCTCATTTTCATGATGAGGAAAGATTAAATCAATTCCACCACCGTGGATATCAAATTTATGAGTTAAATAACAAGCACTCATTGCACTGCACTCAATGTGCCACCCAGGTCTTCCAGGACCCCAAGGGCTATCCCAGCTAGGCTCACCTGGTTTAGCAGCCTGCAATTATTATTAAGAAATGAGATATTTCAGAAATGTTACCAAAAATATGTTAAAATAACTTGTAAAGGATCTCACACCTTCCACAATGCAAAATCAGCTGGGTGCCGCTTTCTTGAGTCCACAGCTACTCGTTCTCCAGCTCTATTATGTTCTAACCTTTGTCCAGATAGCATGCCATAATTTGGGCATTTATCAACAGCATAGAAAACATCACCATCAACTTCGTATGCATAGTCATTGTTGATAATCTGCATAGTACATTAATGACCAACCATCTTTTGAATTCTTAATCAATCCCTTAGAAGATAGAACTAAAGGCAAACAAACCACTATCAAATCCAATGTTATATTGTACAATTTCATGTTTCAACTTCAATGCCATACATTTTAATGAAAATGTCATGCAACAAAATCCCTAAGTTTGTCATCATTTGCAATCTAATTTATATTTCAGTTAGCGAATTGGAGATTGCATGCAGCTTCTGAGCTTCATATCTCTCAATATTAAAAAATTTAAAACAACTAGCCTTTTAACACCTGTTTTTCTTTCTTAGCTCCCTCTCAACTTGAATGTCTTTATTCACAGGTTAATGTGCTAAATTACCATAATAGGATACATTATGCATTACATTGCTGGAAGATTGAAGAAGGAATGGCTTTTTTATATAATAAATTCATTCTGACTTAAACAAGCAATGAATACTAAATAATAAACAAGTTTTTCATAAAAAAGCACACAACATAGCATCATGTTTACAGATCATGTTATGAAATTAAATGATATTTTAATTAGCCTATCAAAGGCAACACATAAACTCCAAATACACTTGGAAAAAAGAAGTATTGACTAATAAAACAGCACAAAAGACTACTTGGAATGTAATTGAAACAAAAATGGTGCAAAAGGCTTTTATTCAGCAGATTTTATTTTTAAAAAAAAAATCAAACAAAAGGAAAAGACAAAGATCTTAAAGCAAAATTAAACCTTGGTTATCATGTCCTTTATCTCGCCAAGGTGCTCAGAAACACGAGGTTCCTTAGATGGTTTCTCACACTGAAGATCAGCCATATCAGCATTATATTCATCACAAAAACGGTTGCTCAACATCAATGGATCCTCACCAGTCTCATTTGCTCGCTTAATTATCTGCAGCAGTTCTGATATTAGTGGTCTCTAATAAGCATTAAAGAAACAATAAGAATTGCATGTAAAATGAAATATTTTCTAGGAAAATTGAACTGGTTGAAACTTCTAACCAAGGTTGTTAACCAAGATCCTAACTAGGATTGGAAAGGGAGGGAAACTATGTGAATCAGAGTATTGTAACACAAATCATAAGATCCTACCTAAACACAAAGTTACATTTAAACATGTACACATGCATATAAAATAACATAGATAAGAAAAATAATCTTTAAATCACAACATTTAATTGGGCTAAAATTGAGTGTGCATAAGAAGGTCAAATACCAACAACTCACAATTCACAAACACATAAGAGGAAGAGAACCACATGTACAAACTATGCTGTTCTGGAACAGTCCAAATAGAATCTGACCAGAGATTTGAACAGAGGCAGATGGATTTGGGACACCAACAAAAGAAAATTTAGGTCCAAGAGGAAGAGAGGTGAAATGAATGAGGTACTGAGAGGGGAGACGGGACAGGGGGTGAGTGAGAGAGGTCGAACGAGGGAAAAAAATGAGGGTAGTGTGTTGCCTCTCTACAGTCAAGCAGCCCAATTCATCTCTGTTGCAGGATCAGAACTCATTCCAGATTGCTGATCCAATGAGTTGACAAGTTTTTTAGGTAATCTTACTCAGATTACAATGCTATGTGGTGCCACAATTTAAGACAATGAGAAGCTTGTAGGATCACGCAATCTTCTGAGTAATAATTATCACGATTTTGACACTTTTTATGCAGCAAAACCAGCATTGCTAAAAGTAGACTCACCATTCAAATTCAAAAGGAAGACATTTTAAAGTGAAGAAGAAGAACAAAAATAACAAAATAAAGATAGTTCAAACAAACAAACAAAGACAACACCAACTTGAAGACCGACATTTGAGCTATTATCACAAACGATGATGCCCAAGACACAAGCACGCAAAGATGTGTATTATTTGAATCGCTTATTTTAAAAGTTATGTACACATAAAGCATGTTCTAGTTAATAACACAAACTAAAACAACATCAATACATTTTTATATTCAGTTGAAAACTTTACAGTAGTAAACAAAAGAAAATATTTGATTGCAATGGAAAAACCTACAAAACTCAATCGTCTACTATACAGTTGAATCACTTTAACCAATAAATCCTAAAGTCAAAGAACTCAAGACAGGGTAATGGGCAACTAGATCAAAGATTTTATATTTTGACTATCAAATTAATATTATTCAAAATTAAAATTGTTATTCACTAAATATCCGCATTTCCGATAAGCACTGGTTTGATTTTCTAGGAACTAGGATATCATTTGTATTCATTTCTAAAATGAAATTTCATATGATATGCATTTCTTACATGCTAAGGGTCAGTTGGGTATAGCATATGTCACAAAAAATATATTCTTGCAAACTCTAAGAGTACTACACTCAATCCAATAACACTATGGCACATGAATAACCATACAAGCGACTGGTTTAAACTTAAAAGTTTATTTAATAAATTTTAAATCAAATCTCAGTAATTGTCTCATTGAGAGTATTACTCTCAATATATTAGTATTTATCAACAAAAAAATGGATGTCAAAATTCATGGATCAGTTTTGAATACAATTTTATAAAGAAAATAGATCAATGAATTTTTTAACCTCTATTTTTACCTCCATACAAAACTGACCGTAAAAACAAAAGAAGATCATTAGGAAATTTCACAACATTTATTAGAGAGGGAGCTGCCTTATATTGATCCAGACTTCAGCAATATATTGATAAGTATGGGCAACATTCTACTTGTTAAAATAGAGCCTACCTTGAAATGATCTACTAGATAATGGAAGCATTCAACATGTCAGACCATCTCAAATACATTTTACTTAACTAGACTACAAACTACAAAAGTACATATGGTCTATTAAGATACTAGGATTTATTAACACAAACCTAAATCCAATCATCATCACATTGGTTGTATGCATCCTCCGTTCCTTACAGTTTTGTATAATGGACGTAAAGTGTAACGAGCATAAGGCTAAGGAGGGGAACCATCCCTCAAAAGCCGGCCCAAGAGGTTGGAGAACCTCCCGCCTTATAAGGCCTCCCTGGTAAGGAGACCTCCCCGATGTGGGACTTGTTACATTACCACCCCCTTCGAAAGCCAGCGTCCTCGATGGCTGCACTCCACGGTACTTCACTCACCGGTACTTCACTCGGCCTTTGCCGGTCAGAACCCTCCAGTGGTCAGAACCCTCCGTGGGTAGCCCTTCTCGATTTGGCTGGCTCTCAACCAAAGCACCATTGTAACGAGCATAAGGCTAAGGAGGGGAACCATCCCTCAAAAGCCGGCCCAAGAGGTTGGAGAACCTCCCGCCTTATAAGGACTCCTTGGTGAGGAGACCTCCCCGATGTAGGACTTGTTACATAAAGTTAGAAGGATTACACAGAGAATTATGTGAGGGAAAGATTGATGAAAATCAATTTCTTAAAAGAAAAAGGATAACATTAAAAAAGCTTGATTCAGTAACACTATATGTACTGTTATACTATTGTAGGAATCACACCAGCAGGTTAGACATTGTGTTCATCCTCACCTTGTCATCAACATCAGTGAAATTCCGCACATACGTTACCTCGTAGCCCAAATGCTTAAGATACCTACAAGTTTTCATGATAAGCAGAGTAGAAACCTCATGTTAACCCTTCATCTTCACATCTAGAATAAGCGAAAATAAAATGGAAAGAGAGAGGCCAAACAAATAGTAAAAAGGTGTTTCAATTCCAGCCTCCAAGTTACAAATGCGCTAAGGAAACCTAATATCTAGAACGATAATAATAACATCAATTCAAACCAATTTGAATTAATTTATTTTCACATAAATATAATTGTAAATAAAAACAAATATGACGAATAAGGAAGTGAACCTAGTTCACACACTATTTTGGTATAGAAGTGGCGGAAATCTGAAGCAACTGATAACCTTATGCTAAAATGTTAATTTGATGGGAAGAGAAAGAAGAAGAGGTTGAAGGCATTGAATTGTAAACCTGAAGAGGATATCGAAGGAAACGGCAGCACGAGCGTGACCGAGATGGCTGAAGTCATAAGCAGTGACTCCGCAAACATACATGGAAACCTTGCCAGGGACTTTGGTTTTGAAGATCTCCTTTTGCTGAGTCAGAGAATTGTAAATCCTGAAATCGGGATGCTCCTCCGCCATTGCCACACCCACACTCCTGCTGCCTCCAGATGAATCTTTCTCACTTCAACTATGTCACCCAGTTAACCCTATTTTTTTTTTTCTTTAAACCACTCACTCTATGCTCTCATTTATTTAGGGATATTAAGGATATTTAATCCCTTTTGATGTTATTTTTTAATGAATCATTATTTTTATAAATGTAAAAATTAAAATTTATATCCATTTTTTACTGAATTATTATATTTTTAAATAAAAAAATATAAAAAAATTATATCTTCTTTAAATAATTATATATAATTTGTTAATATTTTATTAATCTATAATTATTCAACACCAAAAAAAAATTATAATTATTAAATTAATTGTTAGAGGCACAAAATATTTTGAAATATTTAATTATAAAATAATGATGGTAATTTAGGATCTATTACCGGTTTGTAATTATCGTTTCTACGTTTATTTTATTTTTATGTAAAAAAAAAAGGAGTTTCACTTAAGGATGACAAAAATGATATTAATGTACGGAACAAATGAGATATTTTAACCCGTTAATTTGTCTAGTCCTTAAATGACGGATTGAAGTAGATAGATTATAGACCAATTATATTTTTTATTTATTATTATATTATTTTTAATAAGTCATATAATATTTATTATGTAAATAATTTATAATTATTATATTGTAAATATAATATGTGTTTGATTTATTTTATTATATAATTTAAGATTTTTTATATCATAAATTTATCGAAAGAATTATTATTATAATTATATATTTATTTTATTATGTAATAAAATTAAAATTTATTGTGTAATAAAATAAATTAAATATGTTATATGATGTTTAATTTTTTATTTAATTATATTAATTTATGTAAATTTTTTAGATATTAAGAAAAGAATATGTCAAAAGAAATATTTAAATATCTAAAATAAATATGTATTTTTTTAGTTTTTTATTTATTTGACTCATCCTTAAGCAAAACGGACCGGAATGTGCTGTCCATTTAAATCACTCATTTTGTCTGTCCTAATTTGACTTTCTTTTTAATGGTTATGTAACTCGCGTTTATTCTTGGTATTGGTATGTTTTTCCTTTATTGGAATCGGTAATAGATTTGTTTAATAAAAAATATCATTAGTAATTAAGGATATTGCAAAAATAAAAAATAAAAGTTTGTAATTGAGGAATTTGTGTCATTTCTTTAATCTCAGCCCATTTGATTGTACCAAAAAAAAATTCTTTCAATTTGAAATTCATTATTTTGTTTCAAAGGTGTTTATAAATTTTAAATAATGATAAAAATAAAATAACTGCACATTTTAAAAAAAATATTTATAAACTTTAAAATAAACTCTTATATATTAAATATAAATATTTATTTTGTATGAGAATATTTTTATGAATTTTTTTTATAATATTTTAAGGGATTTTTTTAAATTTTTATCTTACTCAATTTTTATTTATTATAATTATCTATAAATTAAATTTTAATATTTTTAAAATAAATCATTAATAAATAAAAATAATATTGTACTAAGATATAAATTATTTATTAAAATTTTTAAATATAATTTATACGTTTAAAAATATCTATTTATATAAATTTTAAATATAATTTATATATTTAAATATGATATTTATTTATATATATAATTTGTTATAAATTTTAATTTTATATAATATATATTTAATTTGTGTATTACACAAATAGATTAAAATAGTAATAACAATAAAAATAAAATAACTATAAGTTTAATGATCACATATCGTTAGTGTGAAAAATTTTATGCATCAACCATTAAAAGTAAAATATAAATATAAATATATATAGTCAATTAATATATAACCTTTTTCTCAAAATAAGATAATAAATAAGTTAAAATTAATTAAATGTATAGTTGTCCAATTTTAAGTTTTAATTCAGTAATTAATTAATTTTTACTAATTTAAATTACTTTTAAGACTCTCCTACTCTAAGGCAACATTATAATTTTGGTAGATGAACAATTCATAATTTAATTACTGACCAAGAAATTGATCACCACATGATGAAGAAAAAAGGTAAGCTTTTACTCTTTGGAGAATAAACATGATAAAAGTGGATTGAAACAAACTTCCTTTAGAAAACTTTATTTTTTTGGCTTCCTCCAAATTACTCTACAACTTATATGGAACTTTATATCTTCCTCTTCTCTCTCCTTACCGTGGAATGGGAGTAAATTGGATAGCTAGCTTCTCTCTCCTTCTGGGGTTTAAGACAGGGAAATACCCTCTGATATGCCTTTCATAAGTCTGATTTTTCTAGGCACCTAATCAGTTCTGTTTGATTAATATATAATATAATCAAGGAAAACGCTATTATAGACAGGTATAGAAAATATAACCGAGTTAAATATGATGCTTAGCT